TTGTATTGCATTTTATTTTGACGAATTTCTCGCGAGTCTTGAGCTATTTAGCCACTTTCTGTTTTTACATCTCTCTGTGTTGGTAGCCTCGATTGAAACGTAAATTATATTATCAACTTGCTTTTCAATTTGTATAATTCTGTTTGCCAATTCAGACGGCATGACAAATGATTTGTTATCGCTTGTTGTGAGCCGCAGGACTCATCTAAGTTGATCTTCATCTGAACTGATGTAGGTTAAAATAAATTCTTTATATTTAATTTATGTAGAGGTTTGTACATGAAATATAAATATACATTCATTATAATAAAGATTTAACTTTGCAAATCCCTTTGTACGTGTGATAAAATACATATTCGAATATTTTTCTGTATTGTAAATATATTTCATAAGTCAAGATAATATGACAATCATAGAAACAGATAACTTTACAACGCATATTTAGTAATAATTTCAAAATTAAATTTTGTGAGAACAGTACATGTAATTAGTAACAGTTTAACGATAAATTTAAAATATTATTTCAATTTAACAGAACANTAATATCTGAATTATTCTCTATCTCGATGACGGTGAGAAAACTAAGGCTTTTCAAGAATAGTAACGCATTATGGAAACTTTGAGACTTTCCTGTTCTCACAGCACACGTTATGTCTAATAGGGTAGTTTTCTACATAAAATGAAAGGTACTGGTTAAGTATGTTATTCTTAAAATGTCATCTTAACTGCTCATTTTTATCCTGTTATTATTTGATCTTTCACGTTACACTCCAACAACTAAAATAATAACAGTACTAATAATATTATTATATCTGAAATATTACCTTTTTCCATTTGAACAAAAATATCATCTTTTTTTTCATACACTTTTATAGAAGTACATACACATAATCTACAGGCGACAAACACCATGTAAAATAAACAAAAAGACTCAAGCTTATAAAAACTACTTGGATTTCATTTTCTATGTGTACAAGACTGTTGTTAACTAAAATATGATCAAATAGGTAGCACTTTTCCAAGATACATTTTTTTGTAAAGTTCAGTTTATTTCATGTAGCTAAGTTTTGAGTTATTTACGTTAAGAGTTGGAATGTAAAGGGAGTACTTATGTATTAGACATTGATTTTAAGCTAAAAATAATTCTGATACTTATTGCATTTGATTGCATAATTTTTTTTTTGGTCAATCTAATTCAAAGCCTGACGTTGTGAAAACGTCAAGTTCTGTTAATGGAAATGATTTTGCTGGATGTTTTTATGTAGTTTTCACGAGATATAGTTGTTGCATTAGAAAGAACCAATATACAACGAATTATGGCATTCGAGTGTACATGAAGATCATTAAGCTATTTTTTAAACACTGTAAGTAATAATGCAAGATAAAAATCTTACTTTAACTAAACTATAAGTCATATTTATTAAGTTTAAAGAAAATTATCAAGCATAAATGCATTAATAAAATAATCTGCTTTACCTTGTTCTGCAGCAACGCTGGGCAAGTAAGTTGCGGTTTTTTTATTACCCTTTTCGTTATGGAATTCAATTCTAATTCCATGAACACCAATAGTCCAATCAAGATAATCAGAGCCATCTTCAAAGTGTTGCAAAATTGAAACACTCACGTGTAATCGAGGAAGTTCATCTTTTGTGATCGGATTAAATCTTGTATCTTTAAAGGCACTAAAAATGTTAAATTTAAATAAATATAAGGTTTTTTAAATGTTTTCGATAAAGATTACAGTTGATTAGAATTTTACAATAAATAATACACCTGCCTTACACAAAAAAAATTTTTCAAACTAGTAAGCCACTTAGTATTGTGAAACACTCAATTTACAATTTTTTTCAGTTTAAAAAAAATGTATTGTATTTGATTATTCTAATAAAACTAACGAAAAAAAATTTAAACTACAACGAGAAATAAGACTTAGTTAAGGTGGTATAAGAATTTATGACCATGTGCTAATTGATTTCATTATTTCAGGCACATTTATGGCACTTTCGATTTGTTTTTTTTTTGCATTGAAGACCATAAAATCATGATTAGTATAAGCTCCATGCAAAACAGGAAAGGTTTTACAAAGTTAACATTAGAAATAAATGTAGAAGAGAAGAATAAAAGGTAGGATTCGTTAAAGCAGAAATATAGATAAAATAGGTGAGATGGACGGACAGAAGTGGCAGAAATAGAAACCCCAGAGCACAAGTGCATAATATAGACCAAGTAGTTAAAGCTCAAACTGTATCCATTAACCATTAAAAGCTTTCAATCTAAAATCCCCATAGCATGGTGTTAAGACAATAAGAAATAATTTTTTAAAGAACTTCATTGATAACGAAATGACTAGCGAACCAAAATATTATCTGCAAGATAGTGTTGAGAGAAGAAGTACATCTAGTTATTCTAAACAATATAGTAATATAATTGTAAAAAACAACACGTATGAATTATGTAAAAAGAAAGAAACTATGAAGCAAACAAAAATATTTTTTGGATAAGATTAGTCCAAAAAAATACGTAACGGCAAACATAAACAAATATATGGGTAAAAGCACAACAAAAAAAGGGATCAAACTAAAAGGCTTCATATTTTAAAAAGTGTTATTGAATTTAAAAGCGAATGATAAAAAAAAGAAAGAAGAACAAATATAATTGGCTGGAAATGTAACGATCAAAATAAGATTATAAAGGGGTGAAAAATGGTTGGACAACTATCAAGTAATCTACAAATATTGCATCAATCATAAAACATGTAATACTAGTGAAACTAAGGGTTCAAAATAATTATTTTGAAGTACTGCAAGGTTAAATAATAAAGATAAAACTTTTGGCATAACACATTAGTTTTAGTAACATAGTAGAAAAAGAAGTAGAGCATTCAGGAAAATGAGTACCTGAATTCCTTAAAAAGAAATTACTTTAACGTAGAGAATCAATAAAACAGGTTAGCATAGTTTTACGCTGATGTATGTACGTTGATATAAGTAGTATGTTTTGTTAAAAATGGTCTGTTTTTGTATTTTGACGCTAGAAGGGCTGCCCTCGGCACTGGAATCAGGAGACCGTATACTGGACATTAGTTTTGAGCGTAGTTCGCAGTTTATTTTTTATTATTGTCTAAGCTACCGTAATGTCTCTCCCCTTTGCACCTCAGCGGCTCGGCGCCCGCGGTATCGCGACGAAGAGACGCAGCTTGCTCATGCGATAGCACTTAAAGTGAAGTCCTATAGTTTATTTTAATTGCGTTTTGCTCCAGGTCGACCGTCACCCTTCGCTGACACGCGCACATCGCCAAGCTCGATCAGCACAACTCTGCAATATTTGTAAGCTATACATTCTTTCTTTTTTTTAATATATCTTGAAACTTAACAAAGCGTTGATGAGCTTTCTTTCGATTTGCGTTTAAGTGTTCTACCAACACATGTATTTAAATTGTATAATGGATTTTGTATATAAGCTAGTTTTAGTACAAAACGAGAGTTATTTCGAGAATTTATCATCACGCTTCCACACCTATGAAAATAAAAGTGTTCTATGTCTATGGTCGAATTTCGATCAATAGATCGACCAAGATGTCACTAAATAAACAGTTAACGTTAAATTAAATTATCGACGTGTGTTTAATTGATTCTACAAAGTTTTCTAAATAACAATAAAACTTCT